TGGCTGCAGAGTCGCAGGCGCACGGGAAAGCGACGAGGCGAGTCCCCCTTGTTATATCTTCTCCGCGCTCCGCCCGCCGCGGCGTAGGCTCTGCCGCTGCCAAGTCGCAGACCCGCATACGCGTGCGCTTCTGCTGCTCCCGCTTCGCCGTGATCGCTACGGTGCAGACGCGCCTAACTCACTCCTCCGCGTTCGATCACGCGCGTCGTGCCGTCCCTCCGTCAGCCGCGCACGCGCACGCGCCGCATCCCTGCGCTATCGTGTGTGCAGCGACGGGTGCCAATGTACAGCACGTCTTCGGACCCCTGGACGCATGGTGTCTGTCACTTGAGGCCCCGCTAGACAATGGCGGTATGTACTTTGACATTGCCGCGAGCCGGACATAGCGCGCTCTTCTCAGACAGTGTCGCTCGCACCCATGGCAAGACAGACGAAACGCGGGCGCCGCACAGCCAATGGCGCTGTTCGCTACAGACTCGTGCCCATGCCTACCGGCCGTCCGCGTTAGACTGGTCCGGCCATGGCCCGCCCGCCGTACAGCTTTCTGATGAGGCCCTGGACATGTCCGGTACGTGAGACATGCTTGACGTCTTCACCTTTCTACAAGAGAAGATGTCGGCTGGGCCAGGATACCGATCACGTTTAGGAACGTGATCGGCGTCTTAGCCAGGATCAGTATGCTTGATTATAGTATACTCACGGCCGCGCACACATGCCGGAATAGTAACGAAGCAGGACATTAGCCCGCTCATTCACGCAGCGGTGCAATGGCGCGATTCCGTCCACGAAGCTGCATGCTACAGATTAACTCCGAAGGCTGGACAGGGGGGTGTCGGAATACTTGCATGATGTGTTAGGGACAGGGCGCAGACTGTAATAGACACTCAGATTTCTCACATAGACAGGCCTGAGCTCCGTAATAGGACACGGGGGGACCGGAGACCATTCTCTGCCGTGCTCTTACGCTCGTCAGCGGTCAACCGCACCCATCGCAAACTCGACGCCGTCGCCTCAAGGATGTCAAGGGAACGACATCGCACTGGCATATCTGCGCCCAGTCCTCAAGCCGTACCCTGCCTGCAAGTCCAATCTTGAGCCCCGCCGAAGCGACCCAGGAAGCAAGCCATCCTAGGTAAGTTTTCTTGCTTGACGGCCGCGTAGTGTGCGCCGTCCGCTAGCACCAGCCGCGCATCGTGCCGTTCTCATTTTCGTTTCTTTTCGTCTTTGGCTCCGTCGCCCGTCGCCCGCCGCCCGCCACCCGCCAGCCTCGCACTGCACACCCCTCCTGAGTGCACTCGTCCAATACGCCACCTCCCATCGCGCGTCTCTCGGTCTCCCGCATTGCCGCTGCCGCCGTCATCTCAGCCACACGATAGGTATGTAGTACATGCGGTAACGCCGCCCGTCCATTCTTATGTCGTCATGCTGCCCATCAGGCGCGACAGGGACATCAGTAGGCGGCGTCTCGTCGAGAATGCTCACGCGTTGTCCCCGCATCCTTGCTAGCACGCGCATCGCCGGACGGCGCACCGAGCGCGGACAGGACACAAAGCGCAGACCGCATTGCACGCACACCGGGCAGCTTGTGCTGCCCAGCCAAGTCTCGCGCGGGAGACCAGACGACGGCGTCGTCAGTGCTTCGCGCGTTGATGGCCAAGAGCCGATGCGCGGCATACCTGGGAAC